TTAAGTTGGACATCAGGAGGCGCTACTTCATGGTCAGGGCGGCTAGAGTCTGGAACCAGCTTCCAAGTGAGGTGGTGCAGGCTCCCACCCTGGGGGTTTTTAAGAGGAGGTTGGATGACCACCTTACTGAGGTCATTTGACCCCAGTGCTCTTCCTGCCATGGCAGGGGGTCGGACTAGATGATCTGCTCAGGTCCCTTCCGACCCTAGAAACTATGAAACTACATCTTTCCTGCCCTGCATCCATACAGACTACTAAAATGCTATTATTCTATTCAACTACTAGAAAACTGAAGCATCTATATTCATGAAATTGATTAAGATGTTACTTAACAGGGCTAAGGAAGCAACTTATCTATAGTACTAACCTTCCAGAACAAAGGACCTTCATAATAAATTGTGTTTTTAAATAAATTTATCTGATCAACTGTCATTTAACATGTGTCATTTATACCTTAAGAAGAAAAAACATTAAATCACCCTGCAGAATAAGTAATATTTTCCTATTTTATACCTTTAATCACTGGGTACAATAGCGGAACCAGAGGAAACTAAAATATGATACTACCAAATCACCACTTCGCAAAGGGGACTATATGATCTGCTCAGGTCCCTTCTGACCCTAGAAACTATGAAACTATGAAATGGGAAATTGAAACACAAGGCAACTAAGGTCAGCCCAAACTCTCCATATATTCAGGCATTTCCTTCACCCAAGAGCACATAGGAAGTTTGTAACAAAACACAATCCTGACTGTAGTTCTTTCAAGTCATGGATTAACGTGCTAACTCCTTGAAAATTCCACCTTTGTTTTCTGGTAGAATGGTACATAATAGGCATGTTTATTTTCTTCTTCCCTTAGTCTTCAAAAAGGCAGTATTTTGATAATCAAATTTGTATTCCGGAACATTAGCACTACTGACACAATATGGTGGATGGTTTGGAAAAAAAAAAAAAAAAAAAAAGCAGAAATACTGTTTGACAGGCAGTTGCAATGGGAATTTGAAAAAGCACATAGGACAATTGCAAACAGTATCTCATTCAAAGTATAAGGTATCAGTCAACTAAAACCCATCGTATTCTAATCTGAGAACATGTTATCATCATGCAGATGCCTCAAATTTGAATGAACTTGATTTGTACAACAGTCAGCCTGAGGAAGATCCTCATCCTTGTTCTGGAGACTGGATGCTTAGTGTGGGGGGAAAGGGTCAAAACAGTATCAAGTCACTCTATCCATTCCAGCTGGAAACAAGTTCACAGGATTGGGGGGGGGAGGGGGATATCAGTGTAAATCTGCTTACCAATGCCTACCACATCCAGCATGAGGCAGATTAGGACAAGGTCCCATCTGAAAGGTTGTGGAATTACTGGGTAGTGCTACAAGACCAGTCTGGACAACTACTAAAAGTTTAGGCAAGCACCCAAGTTTACCTCAGTGACAAACAATTAAAGCAGCTCAAGGTAAGAAAGGTGCGAAGGCCAACAAGAGACAACTAGAGGGGAAAAGGGCAGGCAGGGAACAGGTACCGGAAAGAGGAAACAGCACACTACCACCACTTTTCCAGGGTGAGCCTGGCACTGCTGCTCCCAACTGCAGCCAAGCAGGAGAGGCTCAAGGGCTTCCTCCGCCCAGGTCAGACAGGGACCATGGCAACAATGGCAGATCCCCCTTCTTGTGCATCTGCTCCCTGCCTCTCGCCCACTGGCCTAAAACATACCTTACCCCTCTATTCCCCACCCCCTGTAGTCTGAGGGGCAGTATGCTGTACCCCACTTTCAGGAATCCTAGATCCACCCACGTTTACAGGCACCATCAAAAATCTCACTAGTTAAATTCAACTATTTTAATATGCACATTTTGTTAGTTACCAATTAAAAGTAAAACTTATGAGTTAAACATGTCTTGAAAAGGAGCCTGACTGATGTCAAGCTATGTTTTGTATTGCATTCACGGAGCTACGGTTTGTAACATCCAGTTCATGGAATCTACACTATTGCCTTGAGTATTTAGAGCTCCTGATAACAGTGAATATTTGGTGCAACTGTATGTATTAAATGCATTAGAAAAAGACCACACACACACACGTTACAAGACATCTAACAGGAGACATTTGTGAAATAAGCATTACAACAAAACCTATCCTATCAGGACCAGGGCTTAAAATAACAGAACTAGACAGAGGGAGTATAGAGACAACACAGATGATTTAAGGAATTTTCTATACTAAAACAATTATTCAAAATCCAAACAATATAGAGTCAGACAAAAAGACCACTACAGACACATAGGCATGTTTGCATGCAAAATTGCAATAATTAAGAAACAAGAGACTAGAAATAAATTCTTTAATAAAAAGGAAGGATAATCTGGTATGTAAAGATTACTTCATGACTGAAGAGATACAAGTTTAACTGTTCTACCCCAGGCTTCCTGCATACCCCTGTGCAAATCATTTCATTTCTTGCTAGAGTGAATTGTGTCAGCACTGTCATAGCAAAGATACATTTGGGAGAAGGGTAGGAAAAGGGAACAAAATGTGGCAAGTATTACCTTTGCTGAATATCAAAAATAGTTACAGAGACTGAAGTCATGACATGAAATCATCTCGAAGGAAAAAGTCATGTCATGAGAATACATTGCAATGGAAACTGTTACACACACACAACCAGACAGCTGATCAGCCCTCCCTCCGCAGATAAAACACTTAGCAATATCTACAGTTTGAGAACATTTATCAAGCAAATATGATTTTTTTGGCTGAACTACAAGAGAGAAAAGAAAATGGCAAAGCACGACTATCCAAATATTAATAATTAGAGAACTATGGGTAATTAAGTGAAAGAGATAAGAAATAGGCAACTGAGAAATAAATGACCAGGCAAAAATCGGCAAACACATGTATTTTACAACCATCAGAGAAGTTGGCATTCAACTACTAGGGCATTTATTAATCATAGATGTACAAACTAAGCTGATTTAGAGAATTAATAAGGCAATTCACACTTCAGACAAGGAACATGGGTTAAACACACAAGTACACACATACACACGTGTGCGATTAAAATGGTGAGTGGTCTTGCACTGGAAAGCAAATATTTTTTTTTTTTTTTTACTGAAGTCTCGCTTTAAAAATGATCTAAAAGCTGAATTTGAGTCTGTCAAACATGAGCACTGGAATAATTAGTAAGAACCGAAGTCTAAGTAAGATGAGGCTGAAGTTGGTGCCTTATTCCCGGTTCCTTCTTCCAAGCTCATTTTTACACAACTCACGGTTGTTAGCAATGAGCCTGGCAGGCTAAAAAGTTACAGTTTCATCAGAAATGGACATTTACTAACAAAAATGTAAATAATACCAGGCGAGGGTCTCTGGGTAGATGGGATCTTTTGTAGTAGTTGGTCTAATAAAAGAGATCCCATCTACCCAAAGACCCTTGCCTGCCCATGTCCTCACACCAGCGCGGCTACAACCAACCGGCCGGTACCTAACAGCATGCATGAAGTGCCCAGCCTCGATTAAGGAGCGGCGAGGAGGCTCGGGCTACAGGGTGAAACCCTTCTGGGGAGAAGGACCCAGGCTCATCCTCCCCTCAGGAAGCCGAGCCAAGCGCCGCGATCCCCAGCGCGAGGGCGGATAACGCGGCGTCTCCTCCCTGGAGCGCGGGGACTCCGCTGGGGCAGCGGCTGCTAACAGGCGCGCGGCGACCGGCCCCGACCTCCCGCGGGGGAAGCCTCGGCACGTTTCTACCCTGCGCCGCCCCACGGGGCGCCCTCGGCTCCACCCGGGCCGGGGCCGCCGCTCACCCGTGCGGGGAGGCTCAGCCGTACGACACACCAGCAGCAACGGCGGCAGCAGCAGACAATGGAGCCAGAAGGACGCTCGGCGTCGCCCCACCCCGCCCGCCAGCACCACC